GAAAGACTGTCCATCTAATTGCAATTGATAAAAGGGGGGGGGCTTAGATTACCCCCCTCATTTTAATACATTAATAGCAGTTTTCTTCTTATTTCCCGTCTTTCTTGCCATGTGATGTACACAATCACATTATCACAGAGTTATACTTTCTACTTTTTCAACAGGCACCAGGTTTCCACTGTCTTCTCTGCCCTTTCAGAAGGCCTGAGGGGTTGATGGGAGTGGAGGAAGATAAGGTAGGGGAGGCTGGCTTCAGAAAGTGCTGCTATGTGTAGGGGGTGGGTGGGTGGGAAGTGACATCAGCTCTTGAAGCATCTGGCGAAAGATCAACGAGAGACAACATTTGCACTAAGCTGGTTCTTCCTGTGGCAAGATGAAAGCATATTGTTACCCAAACAAAACAAATAGATTATTAGACTGGGCTGCACTTTTCGACAGCCTTTCCACTATGCAAGATGAAAGCAAAGAGCAATATTTTCATTTTCTTTCTTTCTCACTGCTGCCTGCTCCCCCCATACACACACACACACTCACACACACCCCTAAGAAGCGTTTGTTCTTCTTGAGCCTTCTTCGTGTGCTGCTGATCTGTCACACCAGATACTGTAGATATGTGTGCCAGTGTGTTCGTTTGGGAGCCGATCTCAACAAGGGTGCTTTAAATTTTTTTGAAACTGGTGTAAATAAAGCTTTTCATCTCCAGGCGTTGAAAGCACAGAATAAAACCCACAGTTTGCTTTCTGAGAAGCTTCCTATTATCACATCGCCACTTAATTTTATTTCTATTCTCTCCAAGTTAAATAGAAAGACTGGCTCACAGGGGAGCTGCCATGTGCCTACAGACTGGGGATGTCAAGCAGAGAGACTCACTGTGCAAAGTTAATTTCAATTCCCGCGGAGGATTTCACATTCTGGCTGGCTCTGACCCACAGTAATTAGCTGAGATAACTAATGATTACTTACTTATTCCTTGTAATTATCTGGATTTAATAATTCACTGTGTAATTTATTAATTCACTCATAATAGCCTTTCAGTACTGGGACTGGCTCCTTTAAAAGTGTAAAGCAGGGGAAATTTAGCGATTTCTTTCCCATTGCCATAAATCTATCTCCTGACAAATGTGACTTCAGGAACAATCCTATCATGGTAACTATCCAAGAACCTTTGTCTTTTTGTCCTATCAGGATAGCAATCCCAGTTATTTCCCCCCTTGTGTTCCAGCCCCTTCTTTGGAGGCCAAGTAGAAAGCACAGTGCAGTTTTGAGATTTGGTGAAGATTGTTTACCCACAGAAATAAATAGCTTTCACCAAACAATTGCAAAGATGAATTTCTAAACTTACTGTCACAGCTTGCCTAGAAAATTCTGAACTTCATCCTTTGAATAAATATGCTTTTAAAAATCAAGTGAATTTTTCAATGCTTTTCCCACCATCTCATCTTGACTTTCCCCAAAAAGACCAAAATGAATTGATATATTTGAAATGTAAAATAAAGAATTTTACCCACAAAATTTCAGTTTTTGGGCAAAATTCTAATTCTCTTGGCAAAGATAGGTCATAGGATCTGTCCTTGATAGGAAAAAAAGACTTAGTTGTGTATTGTTATTTATTTTTAAGGCACATTTTTTTTAGAACAATGAGATTATATTCTATGTAACTATTTCATTTGCTTTTCATCTTTCCATAATTTTCCCTTAAACTATGTGTCAATGAAACTTAATCTGATAAAGAATTGACCAACTGATTTAATGTCAAATATATAAAGGAAACTTCATTTTTTAAAAAATAATGTTATACAGTGTTTGCGTAGAGTGCTTATAATCAACCAGAACTTAAATATTCCTTGTTGTTAGTCTCTTGTTCCATCTGAGTTTGGATTCAGATGATCATAAGGACAGAAAGAATTGATCATCTTGCTTGTAGAGAAGTTTGTTTTAATAAATTACATTATTCTGAAATATCAACCTCAGGATACCTAGGTATGCTGCTAAGTCAATTAATAAATTAATTGTGGACCTTGAAGAAATATTAGGAAATAAGTCATGAATACCAATGTATTTGATTAATATGACAGAGACTGTCAGACACATTTTGCTATTTTGTCTACTGTAATATTTTGAAAGTCAACACCAAATGGATATTTCTCAACAATTTAAACATGGTTCATTCTATTCTTACCTCTAATTTCTTCTCTAAAACCAACTTTCTTTTCTCCAAATTTCTTTGGTATGTCTCTACACCTCTCATCAATAAATACTTACAGAATATGTTCCTTTTAAGATTTTACTTTTCCCACAAAAATTCCATCTTGTAGACAATACAGTTTGCTTTGCCCTTGTAATAACCCGGAAGAGATGAACTTACAATGTGATAGTTTTAAAAGGCTGGGGAACACAGGTGACAATTATTGGTGAGTAGGGGAAAAGATTGGTCTTCAGTCCCAACAGTCAAAGTAAATAAATAGTTGCTGGTCTGTCACTTTCCTCAAAACAGCTTTGGAAATGAATGCAAGCAGCTGTGTATCTCAGAATCTGAGATTCTATTCAATATAATTCTAAATTTCCACTACACTGCAAAATTTCTCTCTTCATTTGAAGATGTCATATTTGTAGAAAGAAGACACTAATAAAGCTCTCTTTCTTCCCTCCAATTAACTTCCCTTTCTCTTAACACACATACCTTCAATAACACTCATATATGTGAAGGGGAGGGTACTATTTATTGAAGATAATTTTCTTCTAGATCAGCAAATATTATCTGTTACACCTTCTATTTGGTTCATTCATGTTCTGCACTCTGGAGTAAGTAAGCAAGCAAGCAGAAAGTTCTCTAGCTGGCTGAAAAGTTCCACTGAGTTCTGTGGTTGCTATCCGTGGTGCTGAAATCAGTACCAAACATAGTGAGATTAGAGGCTGACTGAAAATACTTTAGGAAGGAAAAAGTGAAAGTAAGGATTTGCAACCTCTAGAGTGTAGTAATAAAACTAAACCATCGATATCACTATATCTGAATTCACATCTCTTTCTTTGAAATCTATATAATTTCCAATGTTGCCTTAGGCACCTATGCAATGTATTTCATTGTTATCTAAGCAGATACATGGATTTTGTTCGAGGTATTTTCCTTAGCTTAATTGTAGAAAAAGAGGTACCACTGCCCTTCCTCCATCCAACTCTCACAATCTTCTTGTTATAACTGAAAATCATAATCAGTTTTCCAGTAACACTTAATCCCAATTTGAATGACTATAACAATTTTCATTGACTCATGGAATAGTTACCAAACTAACTTCATCCCCCAGATAAGAGACATCCCAAGACAATTCCATTCCACAGAGATCACAGCTTAGTGCCTACTTCCTCTTGTTTGATCTATGGATTAGTATGATGTTCTCATCATTAATAATGTAAATATCTAAACCAGAGCTTTCCTTAAACTTAACTTTGAAACCCTAATAGGTTACCCAACTACTGTAGGGAGTTCTGAAAATTATTAAAATGAATGAGGAAGTCTCTTCAGACTAGAGTCTGAAAAAGGAAAATCTGTTCAGTAAATGAGCAAAACTTTTTTGTTCCAAACCACTCATTAGACAGACCTTCCCCAACTCTGGTGTCTGGGTGACTGACAGAAGAGGAAAACATTTACTCCTTCTAACAACTCAGAATCTCCCCTCCTTCTCAGCCCCACTACAACTCATGCAAGAGTTGAGTTTCCCTAAAGATGATGAGAAGTGGGGGGTGGGGTGGGGGGAAGAGAAGGTTCTTCCTAATCCAAGTGGTCCTTGTTCTGGTTTGGAATTCTGCTCTGCAGGAGTGGTGACTGAACTAAGAACAATACTGGCCCAGCCTCTAGGCCCCAACAGGGTACTCTACTCCCACAACCTGGGCTTTGGGTCTTGCCACAGTCAGTTTCCCAGAGCTGCTAAAAAGCGAACTGAACTCTTTTCTTATTTTTACCCATTGGCGCTAGGAAGAATGGGTAAAACTATTTCTATCCAATACCTCAGATCACAGATTCTCTTCACAGAATGATTGTATATCTGGATAATACACTCCAAGGGACATATTTGGAGCTGAATATCATAATCTCATCTGGGCACAAAAACAAAGTACCCTGGGAGATAAGCATCAGCTTTTAAAAGTCTGTTGTAAATCTTGGTCATTTATACTTTCCCAGATAAACACTCCTTGTAAGTCCAAACCAGACTTTTATAACAACCACTTCCTAGTAAGCCACCAAAATGTGCTTCTACCTCTAAAAATTCCCCACCAAAATAAGGCCCATATAAATGATTAAACAACATCAAATTTTAAAAGCCATTTAATTGTAATAGCACGTTTTAATGAAAAAAGCAGCATACTTTGCCAATGAAACATTAAAATCATTTCTTCAATGAAAGACAATCAAACAACACCAAAAAATAACTTAATACATTACCATAGTAAATGAACCATCTATGAACAAAAACAAGAAACCAGGTCATATACAGAACTCAAGACTTCAGAAAGCCTCAAACAGAAAGGCAATACAGCAAAATTTGTAAGAATATATCTGTATGTGCATCATTTTGAATGAAATATTTACAATAGATAAGGTACCAGTCATTGTGTACCTAATATTTTTGTTCCAAAGGAATTCTACCAAATAATGTGAATTTACAAGCAGTGCACTGTCTTTCTTATCATTCCAATTAGTTTTTCTACAAACAAGCCTCCAAAAGGAAAACCAAAATATTCTCATGAATGTTAAAATGTTGCAAATAAAGCAATTGAAAACTGAAAGATTGGAATCTTGTTCAACTCTGATAATCCAGAAGGGCAAATACCAAATGGCAAATGCACCTAAAGCTAAAAAATGATGAATGATAGTATTATAGACATGTTTCCAACTGCTTATTCTCTCCCAATAGAAGTATAAGTATGTGTGTGTGTGTGTGTGTGAGAGAGAGAGAGAGAGAGAGTGTGTGTGTGTATAAGGATAAGTGAGAGTGCGTGTGTATTGGGGATAATATGGGAATCCCCATTAAATATGTAACCAAGTAAACAATACTTTAGACAGTGAATCAGGTCTGCACCATCAAGACATCCATTACTGAGTGTTGACTCACAAATCAGAACACTATCAGTAAAAAAACAAAGGAAAAACAATCTTCATTCAAAGAGAGACTATACAAATGGGCCAAAAAGGAACCCAGTGTAAGGGGAAAGCTGTAAAAATTGAGTAAACTCGTGAAACACAAATTTTTTGAAGTTCACTAGCCATACATTTCCCCCATTTTTTAAAAGACCAAAGAAGTTTAATTAATTAGAATGTGCACAAAATTAAGTTGCTAGAGAGATAAATTAATAATTTACAGAGGGTTGTTCGGCAATAATCTAATAATAGCTTTCAAGATCAGTGAACACAGCAGGCGCAATTCCTTTCTTAAGCATTAACACTTCAGAAAAGGAAGAAGGGGTAAGAAACACAATAAAAATATATATATATATATATCATATACAGTGTAAAGGCAGAAAATCTGCCATCTTTTTTAAAATCCAAAATACTTTAGAGCTGTCTCTATCACATTAAGCATCAACTCTAGTTAAAGTTTCAGTTCTGAATCAATTTCTATTTCTGAAAAATAGCTGCAAAGTGTACTTTTAAACTTGAACAAGGGTGATGTCTTTAAGAATAAAAACAAATCTTACTTGATCATTCTTGGGGACTTTTAAAAGGCTGAATCGTCTGCCTTCCTGCAAACAGCCAGCTCCAGACTTCCTCTGAAGAAGCCGAGGTGTGATTTCCGGATGAGGATGAAAGAGACAACTTTGCTAAAACTTGACCGATCACGTTTGTTTCTCTTTCCTTTCAGAAACCGTTTCACATTCTCGCTGGGCTCGGGCTCAGATGCTTGCTCTTTCGCTCCCTCTCCAATCCTCGCTTTTTCTGGATTCACATTCACCGGAATTGCTTCTGGTCGCCAAAAGTAGAAAGAAAAGAAGCAGGAGAAAGACGGAGGGAAAAGAGAGGACGCAGAGGGGGCAGTCCCTGGAGAGGCCGAGGGTCTCCTAAATGCCGGCGGAATATTTCATCCTTTTCTGTTTCTGCCTCTGGTTACAGAACCAGACGCGCACCACATTTTTCTTAAGGTCCAGCTTCTCGGCAATCGCGGCTATTTTCTCCGAGGAGGGCCGTGGCTGGATGGCGAAATAGGCTTCAAGAGAACGTTTTTCCGGGGCCGCGATGGACGTGCGCTTGCGCTTCTTCTCGGCGCCGTTGAAGAGCTCTGGCTTAGTGAGCTTTTCGCGGTGGGACTTCTCTGCCTCCTCGAGCCATGCCTGCAGGATGGGCTTGAGCGCGATCATGTTATTGTGAGACAGCGTGAGGGACTCGAACCTGCAGATGGTGCTCTGACTAAGCGAGCCCACGCCGGGGATCTTGAGGTTAGCCAGCGCAGAGCCCACGTCGGCCTGGGTCACCCCTAGCTTGATGCGTCGCTGCTTGAAGCGCTCGGCGAACGCCTCCAAGTCCCGCGGGTCGGCGTCGACGTCGCTCATGCAACCCATGTGCGAGGGCAGCCCGTGAGCGTGGGCCATACTGAGCGCTGCTTGGTGCATGGGGTTCATGGTGGCCATGTGCGGCGCGTGCGCCGGCGTGGACACCACCGCGCCGTCGGGGCCTGCCATGGCTCCCAGGGCCAGCCCGGGGCTCAGGTGCTCCAGCAACTCGCCCTCGAGTGCTTGGTGCGGCTGCTGGTGGTGGTGGTGGTGATGGTGGTGGTGGTGGTGAGTGCCCGCTAGCGCGGACGGGTGAGAAATGGGCACCGACGAAGAGGCGGCCGATGTGCACGGGATGGTGTTCATCGTGTGGTAGGTGGCGTCTGGCTTGAAGGGACTGTGGTGGGGCGGGTGGTGGTGATGGCTCTTGCTCTGGGAGACGATGTCCACGGCCGCCAAAGCCTCAGCGCGGGCCAGCAGACTCTCATCCAGCCCGCCGAATATATTGCTCTGCAATTGCAAGTAGAAGGCACACATTACGCTCAGCAGGGAATTGTGCGTACTCTCCCCGGAAACTCCGGCCCCGCGCTCCACAACGCAGCCGTGTCTACAACATTCCCAGAATGTTAAAATAATAATAATAATGATAGTAAGAGTAATCCTGAAAATTGGAGGTAAGGAGAAGAGGAGGGAAGCCACTAAGAGAAGCTTGAGAGTGCAGGAGGAAGAGGAGGAGGAGGAAAGTGAGCCCGCAGACAACACAACACAACACGCACTCAGGCAACATCCCAGGTCATAAAAATTAATATGAAAGGCAAGACCCGCTGAATACATAAAAGAGAGAGAGGGGGGAAAATTGGTTAGAGGTGTGGGGTGATTTGCTGTGCAGACATGAAAAAAACATCAAGCAGATAAAGGGGGCTGTCAAAATGTGCCTTTAAGCGGTGATTATGCAGAAATACGCACCGGTGGAGTTGGAAGACATGCTCTTCGCATCGCCTCGGAGCCCCCGCCGCCGCCGCTGCTCCCACTGCTACTGGCGCTGCTGCTCCGGCCTCCGCCGCCGCCGCCGCCGCCGCCACTGCCTCCAGCGTTGCTAGAGCTGCTGGGTGAGCTGGCCGAAGGCGCCGTGGGTGCGGAAGAGCCGGGAGAGGCACTGTGAAGTGCCGAGTACTTGGGCTCCACGTGCAGGCTGCTGCCGTGCGGCATGCTGAATGCCTGCTTACTGTTCAGGGACATCATCATCATCTTCCTGACTGCCTGCGCGCTCGTCCGAAGCGCACTTGCGGCACTCGCTGCTGAGACCCTCTTGAGAAGCCGAAGCTGGGAAGAGCGGCGCGAAGTTGCACTCACTCACCACCTCCTCTAGGCTCTTCGCGCCTAGCCCAGGCTGCGCGCTACTCCGCCGCCTCCGCCGTCAGTCTGAGAGGGTGCCGGGCTCTGCTTGACTCTGGTTGCAGACCTGGCCGCCCAAAACTGCCCTGCGCCTAGCGGCCGCAGAGTTATACTCCCCTCTCCCAGCGCCTGCCCCCGCGGACCCCGCCCTGCTTTTCTCCCCACAGCGCGCCTACTCCCTCCCCTGCCAGGAAGCGCCGGCTCCTGCCGGGTTTCTCCCCGTTGCTCCTTCTCCCTCTAGACTTCGCTCAGGCTTCAGTCCTTTCTGCTCCTCTGGCCCCCGCCTCCCGCTCCCCACCACTCCCTTGGCCTCCTCTCCCTACCCCCGCCCACGCTCTGATGTGTTGCCCCTCCCGGGCTCCCCGCTGCTTCCAGTTACACTCTCGCTCGGTTTCAACCGCACCTAGCTCTCCAGATCCTCTCTCCGGCAGCCCGCCAGTGCCTACTCGGGGCCGACAGTCAGCCCCTGCCGCTTTTTGCTCCTGGTCCCAGCCTCTCCCGGAAAGGAAACTCCCAAATAAAGTTGTGGTCCAAGCTAGCCTGGGATAGGTTTTACCCTAGACTACTAAGAGCGCCTCTTACCTGGCTGCCTCTTCCCCTGCCTTCTGCTTCCCGCTAAATTCTAGCCCCCACCAGCCAACTTGGCTAGCCCCTGCCCACAGCTCAGGTGACCCTGATCCCTGGCTCCTGGCCACCGCGAAGAGCAGAGACACTGCAGGCGACCGCGTCCTCCGCGCTGCTCTGCGCACCCACCCAGGTGTACGCAAAGGTTGATTTTCTGTCCCGCCCCGCCTCGGCCTGGCGGGTGCCTGGTGCAGAACAGACATGGGGTTCTTGGGGCTGCAGGGCTTTCTCTCACTCGGTTTCTCGCAGCTCTCAGCGGATTGGACGGCCGCGGAGCCCGCACGGGTCGCCTGTGCGCATGCGACTCCTCCCCACTAAACAACCCCCCCCCCACACACACACACACTCCTCTCACCCCCTTTTCTCTTCCTCCAGATCCTCCAACTCCTCCTCTTCTTCCTCCTGCTCTTCTTGGTGTATCCAGTATAGTGTGTGATACTTGGGAGGATCCACTGGCAAACCCTGCCACTGGATTTATTATTCTTGATTAGCTACAGTCAAAGAGGAAAGGGGCAACTGACAGAGGGGGGGAGGGCTAGAGATCACAGAGTGCATGTGCTGCATAACGTCTCCCCAACATACACACCCACCCCCACACACACACACTCGGGGCACTGGCACAAGCCCCACTTATCTTCATTTCCACAGCTACTCCACTCACAGAGCACATATTTTTAGCTAACACTGCGCACGCACTTTTGTCCCAGTGTGGGCCACTTTTCTTAGAAGTGGCCACAACACTCTTAGTTTCAGTTGAAAAAGAAAGACAATCTCTTCTACATACACATGCGTGCGCGCGCGCTCGCGAGCGCACACACACACACACACACACACACACCTCTTTCCTCTCTTCTCTGTTCCGGTTTTCTATTTACTTCCCGTGGTCCTGGGGGCTTCTCAGTCACCTCCCCAGACTTCAGAAGGAACCGGGCGAAGGCGAGTTTGAGAAGGCCCCAAGAGTCGGATGCAGGAGTCCGCGGGTGGCCCGACTGGGACAGGGGTGGCTGGGAGCAGGTGCAGGCATGGCGCCCTGGGAAGGCGAGCAGGTGCAGGAGCAGGCGGCAGGGCTGAGAGGCGCTGGAGCGCGCTGGGACAAAAACAAAATGGCAAGAAGCGTGGCAAAGGGGGACCTTCGAATGGTCAGCACCAGGCAGCCCTGAGGCAGGGGCCGCGAGTTGTGTGTGGGGGGGGGGGGGGGGGGGGGGATCTTGCTTCCTATCCTCAAGGATGGCGGGTTCAACTTGGGAGCGTTGTTCTAGGGAGTCGCCTGAGTACTGCGACCGCAGCAGTCAGCAAACGCGGCGGTCTCTGTCCATGGTCCTTAATCCCGTTGGGTTTTCTTGAGCTACACCCGGGCTTGACTTTCTCTTCCCCTGTGTGGAAGGAAGATAATAAGTAACAGTAGCTGGAAGGGATTCCTCCGAGCGGTATCCCCGAGTGTGAGCTTGGAGAAATCTGGATACGGGGCGGAAGAAGGGGGTGTTGACATGAATGAATGTGACTTGTGCCGGACGCTTCAAGTAAGTGCTTAGGTGTTTAATTTCTACCTCAACAACAGTCAGGGTAATTTTCAAGGAAATGAAAAAATGACATTGTACAGCTCTCACTGTCTCAAGCTTCAAGAAATGAAATAAATCAAAGTTAAAAGCTTGAGTATCATTTAATTATAGTGCGAATAGCGCTTTGAAAGAAGTAGAACAACATCTCTAAACAAATTATGACTGGGCCAGGAAGGAATTATTAGATTGAAATTTCATTTAGGCTCGGGAGACACTGTGCTTCACTGTGTAATCTGCTATGCCTCATCTGATTTGTATGCTTAATTCAGCTTGACGAATTTATTAGTTTTCATAATAGTGAAAAAATTGAGCAGCACATTGTGTGTACTATAAATTGTATGCCATCGTGGAAAAGCTGAAGTCTATAGAAATCTTTTATTAATATTGGTATAGGAGGGAGGATTTTCTTGCAAGCCTTGGAGACATTCATACCAAACTCCACTGCTGCTGTGTCTCACTGGTCCATTAACATATCGTCTTACTAATTAGACTACTTCATCAGTGATATAATTTCAAACTTCAAATTATGTTCTCATTAACAAGGGTTGTCCAATTTGCTTAATCTTCAAAAGGCTTTGGATGGTCTAATTAGTATAAACTGTTGAGCATCTCTAAAGCCTCATAAAAAGCCATAAACATATTTTGGGTATACTTTCAATCAGTATTGTGTAAAGGCCAAAGGGCCAAAAGGAGAGTAGAGGAGAAAAATAATCGGAAGACAAGTGTCATTTTCCTATTTCCTTCAGATTATAATACCAAGTGAATCACAAGAAAAACTTTTGAGCATTCCCAAATAGTGGCTTATGTGTATAAATAAAGGCATAAGAATATCAAGGAGACAAATCATATGGGAATAGAAATCTTCTCTTTCATTAGGTGCCTAATTAGATGTAAAGTGAAAAGGCAACCCTGAGGAGTTTCCTAAACATTATTGTGGCAACAGTCTGCTGAACTTGGATTGCAAAATTAAATATTTGGGGGTATTTTGAAACTCTCCTTTTCCCCTCCCCCTCCATTGAGCTTAATTACTTGCAATAGTTGTTTTAATGTATGTTGTCACCTGGGAGTATTGAGAAATGCATATCGTTAATATGAATTAATCTTGATTTTAATAGCAACTGACAACTGATCTCCAAAATGCTAAACACTTGTCACCACTCTATATGGTAAATAAGGTAGTATAATAAATTCATGAAATAAAGAGAGTACTCTTAAAATAACTGGAAAAACTTTGTTTGATATTGAATTTATTGGCTAAAACTATTTCAAACAAGAAAACTCCCAAAAGAATGTTTTTCTGATGGCTAAAATTCAGATATCAGTAAATTAATTTTAATATAACTTTTTTTATCTCTCATATATTTTTCAGTAATGGCCCTAGTTCCAGACAGAAAGAAAGGAAGCCTTTATATTTTAATTCTTGACTTGATAAATTAATATCCAGTTGTAGAGCAATCCAAGAATTTATTTTTCTGTTAGTCCCTTCCCCACAGGAAACACATATATTTCAAAAAATTAAGTCACAGAGTTAGATTTCTCCTTTTCCCACTCAAAGTGAAAAATGAACAGCAGTGCCTGTGTTGCATTAGAGAGAAAATGCAATTCTTCCTTCATCATCACGACTTGCAATTTTGCAATCTCTCCTTCCAGGGGTATCCAGAATACCAAAGTCTTTACACTGATATCAATAAAATCCATTTTGGTTTTGCCCACAGGCTTTGTTGCAAAGTGCTCCAGCAAGTGTGGAAGGTACTCTCAAAAAAAGGAAGATGCCTGCTCCCCAGGGTAGAGGCCATCTAAACAACTGGAAAGCCAGAAATAAATCCAAGGAGTGGAAAAGAATGGCTCAGTACCCAAACCTTGCTTCATATGACCACACTATAAATTTCAATGCCCAAGTGCCTACGGTCATTGGTACCTCTGCACACCCACAGAACTCCCTGAGAAAAACGAACTCCCCAGTAAACCAAAAAGCTAGTTTTTTTGAAAGCAAAGAAATGGAGAATGGATCACCTCTCTAGTGGGGAGCTCTTTTCTTTTCACCACCTCTCACTGGTTTGACAATAGCTTCTTTCCTATCCACTGCCAGACACTGGTCAGCTGCCCTCTGAGTATGGAAGAGACATTGTAGGTTCCACAGGGGCTACCTGGCAGTGATGTCCCTGCAGCAGGCACCCTCCCACACTGAAATCAGCCCATGCCCACAGCCACCCTGAGGGAAAATATCACCGTCTCTTTCTCTGTATCTGGGTCCTAATTTACGATTAAAATTTTAAGCAGTGCATTCATATTTTACCGGACTTAATGTGTTTAATTAAAATTTAATCTATTAAGGGCAGTATGATTTCTCTGTATTTCAAACACAGAATTGAGTTGGACTGCAAGAAAGAGTCCATAAAGGAGTGCTCTAGCCTATTTATGTTCCATTTTGATCTTCAGTAGACAGAGTTTGGGGAAGGAAAGATGAGAAGTACAAATCCCCCATCCCATCTTTGGGTTATAGGGGTTTCAGGAAGATCAGTCAATCTGTTACAGATTCTGAATAGAAGAGCCTCTCTCATCGTTTCCAGATTCTGTGGCTTGGGACAGAAGTGTGTATGTATGGGGGGGGGGCTGTTAACACCACCACCAGCACTACTTCCTTCATTGTGCAGAAAAATAAGAGGAAGGAGGGGATTAAGGTTGCTTTCTGGGGGCTCCAGGAACCTAGCAGCAAAGTACAGAATTTGTGGGGAAGGCGCTTCTGGGTTTGTTAAATCTTGAGATGGGGGGCTATATTCTAGGAGTGATGATTGCATTTTACTCAAACATTTTTCCAAGCACATTCACCGCTACCTTTGTTTTTGTCTCTAACTTCCTCCTGAGGCACAAGTTTTTCTCTTCTAGAGGTTGTAAGAAAC